TATTACCCAATATTGGTCTGCCTCTTAAGCAACTAGAGATGCTAGTGTGGCAACTTGGTTTTATTTAGTTGTGACACACCATGTATGAAGTCATAGAAATATCATCTGAAAATGATGCATCGCTCGCCAAAGAGGTCTACCAAAAAGAAGGCCTAACCATGTTGTCACCGTCATCTAGGCAAGAAGGAAAGAGCTGACCACTTGCTTGTAAGCCTTTAGTGCAGTCAAGGAAGGAAGGAGCAAGCTCACTAATGGTTGGAGGTATTGATTACACGAGAGAGAGGAAGAAATGAATGTTGCCTTTGTGGCTACTATCCTAGTTTTAAAGATAAGAAATAATAATTGATAATTATCTTTATACTCATAATGTTGATATATATGAGAATTTAAGTTCTTGGTATCGTGGTGCTTTGCTTGTCACTAGATCAAGCATGCTTGGTCATGTGGAGCATAAAGTGATGTAGGATGAACTTGCCATGAACTACCATCGATTGAGAACTTAAGTTCCTGATATTGTGGCACTTCACCCACTGTAAGATCAACCTTTCTAGTCATATGGTATGTTGTGTGATGTAAGATCCACAAATTGCCAAGCGAACACTTTATGTTTAAGGTATTATGGTGCTTTATCCAATGTGGGATCCACCTTTTTTGGTCACGTGATGCATCAAGCACCTAAGGATTTGTTCGTCGTAAATTGGTGCCCTAAAACACAAAAAACCATTAGTCCCACATCAAATTGATTAATAGAAAAACCATTAATATCAATCTCATAAAGAAAAAATTCAAGCATCATCTAACTTGTTCTTATTACTTTATGTACTGAATCAACTATTATAACATTTCATTATGCTTCCAACAATTCCCCAATCCATTTGCAAGCCATGGGCCATGGGGATAGTTGTTTGAGGTCATTTCAATATAATATAATATAATATGATAAATATTATATTATATTATTATTTTAAAAAATATTTTTTAGAAAGAAGAAATACATAACTACTTTAACTTCTAACCTTCGAATTAAAAATATAAAACTACATTTTTTGTATAAATAATAATAAAATACGTAAATAAAATAAATCAAGAACTAAAAATCAAGCATTAATATTCATTTCATTGAGGACCGAATTTCAGAGTCCACCTCTAGAATTCGTAATTTGGTGCAACTATTTCAAAGGACTTAATAGTTGAGATTTTCTTGTTGTTTTGAGGCCTAGTAGGCTGTGAATTTTCAACTTGATCACTTGAGTTGTCTATATTAATGCCTCTAATTTGTTTGGGTTTAAGATGCAACTTTCTAAACATCTTTCTATAAGCCTTTTAAGAAAATACTTTTTAGTATTTGTTCTAGAATGTTACAAATTATATGTTGCATATTGAAAGCTCAAATTCTCATTGTACTTTGTTACTATCTCATGTGTTAGAGATTTAGAATTTTATATAGATAGAGTTAGATAGATTGGAGTTGAGTCACTCTAAAATTTGACTTCATAAGTCTTTTCAATTTCAAAAAGCCTTGTGATGCTCTACCCATTGGAATCACACTAGTCTCTTGCCATCCATACTCAAGCCAATAGTAGAGAGTTTTTAGAAGGCTAAGAGTTGATAGGTGGAGAAATATAATTTGACTCTAAATACTCACACTAGTGTCTTGTCATGGATCCATAGAAGGCTTTTGAAAGTTAACCCCTAATCGTCCTGAATGCTAAAAATAGTTATAGGTGTTGTGGGGCCTTTGATTAAGCTTGTGATCTCTATTTTTCCTCTTGGGGTAATGAGGTCATTTATAGTTGAACTCTCTTGTAACTCATTCCTCATATTGGCCCATGTAGAGCTTTTTATTGACTTGGGCATGATAAAAGTTGATTATTGTTGAAATTATTTGATTGCTTAAATGACCAATTATAGTTGTTGCATAATCTCAACTTGGTCTTAAGCGATCAAACCAAGTTGTTACATGATTTCCTCTTTATCTTCTTACTTTGTGGTGACATTTCATTGAACCTCTCGCCCTAATTTTTCAAACTCTTTTTATAAGAATTTCAATCTAGAATCATTCGATTTAGGAGTCATCTGAAGCTCTAATACTAATTTTATAGGTTCTTAGATGTAATGGAGAGAAGGGAGGAAAATGTAAGAACATAAACATACCATAAAATATGTAAATTCTACTTAAATGAGGGACACACAAGTCAAGAAGGGAGAGACAAGGGAAAACATAGAACATAAAAATGAGAACAAGATAGGGATTAACTAGAAGAGACCCCAAAGGGGCCTGATTGGGCAGTCGATTCTAAATGGTTAGTTTCTACTTCTCCACTTGGTGATAGGACTCAAAAAAATAGTATCCTATTCTCTAGTGGATTGGGAGGTCATTTTATTGCTGTAACCTTCTCCTATGTCTTTACTACTTGAACATCTCTAGCTCAATCACCTAGTTCTAGCCTTAGCAGGCCAACCGCCTATACACCCCATCACCTCAGTCCAATCTAAATAGGGTGTCCTTTGCATTGCCCATTTCTAGGCTGTTGTCCATGGATAGGTCCAAGGTCTCTAATCGACTGTTAGAACTGCACCCACTCATGGCTAGAAAAATTCATTCACAAATTTCATAGTGTATAAATGGAAAGAAAATAAAATATAAGAGAAGAAAATGATGATATCATTTCTCAAATTTTCAAAAGTGTCGGAATAGTTATTTTTTTTATTTTTTTCCACTTTTATGAGATTCCAGCACTCTAAACTCCTACCTGATGGATGACGCCGAGCTTTTGTCAGACACAAGTTGACGCATTTTCTAGAATTTTTAAAATCATCGATTTTGGAAAAAAGACCTATTTTTGGCGTTTATTGTGGGATGACCTCGGTTGATTCACCTGATCCGGGCCCAAGACATCGGCCCAATAACAGCAACATCTCTTGGCAGGGTACCTGAGTGGACCATGACACGTGCCTGCCGTAGGCTCGTCCAGGTGGCAAGGGCTACAAGGACCACCTGGCGTTGCTGACGTGTTCCCTCTCAACGCCTTCCAAAGTCGGGTAAAACAAGTCAATATCCTTAAGAAAGACAACCCGTATCATCCGCAATTAGCTCGTAAGACCAGCCAACGGCCAACTGTCGCAGCGAGAGAGAGAGAGAGAGCAACTGGGCCCGGCCATTCTCACCGGCGGCGATCTCTGAGTGGACGGCGGTGCCGCCAAACTGGCCGGAAATCCTTGTCCTCCTCTGAACTCCGGGTGGCGATGAGGACCGAGGCAGATGGGAGCACGGGCTCACGGTTGGCTCTCATAAAGACGCCGCCGAAGCAAAACGACAAAATCCGGACGCGCCGTCGTCTTCCCTCCCGCCGCCGGATGCCGCCCCACTCACGTAAACCGCCGCCACAGGCCGTGACTGTGCTACTGGCATGTCCTCTTATTTTTACCAAAAAAAATGTATATATATCCCTCAATATTTTTTATTTGTATATCTTAAAATACGTAAATTCGAGGGATTACATTATTTATAGAAATTTCTGGTTCGAAAAAAATAAAGATCCTCATTCTGTCTTCATTCTGGAAATGAAATGTCGGCGTTTCTACGAATTCATTGCGACAAAGTGACTGGAAGTCTCTTCCCTTCCTTCCTACGGTTGTCGTTGTTTACCCTGCAGATTCTTCAATGCAGTCCATCCAAGATGGCCTCGCTGGCAGTGGTCCCCACTCTCTCTCCCACCTCGTGATGTGGAAACGATCATTGGATTCTTGGAACATTTTACAAGAACACCCCCAAAAGACAAAGTGTATGTGAGAAAGCCTCTGAGTATACATATTTATGCTATAGACACTCTTCGCCTGGGTCGCGTTGGCTGTGGAAAGCGGAGCAGCGACTACGATTTCCCAGTCGTGTTAAATCTTTCCATTTGGCAGTGCTTTCCCAATCGCTGACATCGTCACTAAAGCGATTTCGAGCACTATCAGAATCGTAGATTTCAAGAATTAGATTTCAAACGGAGAGAGAGAGGGGCAGAGAGAGAGAGAGTCTTGCGCTTTCGTTCACTGAAGGGCTTCCAGTTATTTAAATTTTCTCAGGGACTCTTAACATATTTATCATCTAAAGGGGGTTGTGATGAACAATTCTCACAACTTTTCTCCGAGCCTTTGGACCACGTCAAATCCGTTGGAAAACAGAAAGGACGACGGACCCCAGGGGGCGGCTGATTCGTCAACCGTTAAACCTGGTAAATATTTATTTTTCGATCATGCCCATAAGTGTGGCATACGAATAAATATCCTTCGATAAATGTAAAAAAGGAAAACCCAGCCCGGCTGCCACGCAGCCACCCGTCTCGCTCGGACCGTGCAGCAGCAGGACATGTTTCATACACTGATCACCCTATAAATTATTTAATTTTCTAGATACCCATCGCGAAGTGGCATACGCAGCCACCCGGCTCGCTCGGACCCTCTCGAAAAATACCCCTGTATAGGTCACCCGCAGCAGCCGTTCCATACACGGATCACCTTATAAACTATTTAATTTTCGAAATACCCATTGGTAAATGACAGACTCGTAAATATACTCCTTGTCAAAGTAAAAAAGAAATTTCGTCGAGGAAACACTCAGAGTGGTCCCCCGCTGCCTTAGGCGGGTGACCGTCGGAAAATGTCACCTTCCGCTCACCGCAATTGGCAGTGGCCAGCTTTCTGTCATAAAATGCTCTTCATCTTCTCCTTCCTCTTCCTCATCCTCTTCTTCTTCCGTCCCCCTAGCTGACGCGCAGGTGAGAGAAGAGAAGAGCCAACCGGCGAAGGAAGCATCGGGAATCCGCCGTCACCGAGCTATCCAGGGACCCCCTTTTGCCTCAGGAAATCTCTTCTTCCGCCACCGACAGGATAGTCGCAATGCACCGGCAGAAGCACCGGTGGTAGTGGTACAGGATCTGCTCGTCTTCTCCTCGCTCATTTGCCTCGGTGAGGGAGATTCGTATTCGGACGGCTCAATGAGGGCCTCGGCGATGGCGGATCCGGTCAGTCGGAGAAGCCATCCCCGGAGGAAGGACCAGGGGATCAGTCGGAGTTGGTGCTGTTCGTTCGGAGTTGCTACGCAGAGCCCCGACAACCGCGGTGCCGCCGCTGTCCGCTCCTCCCAGCGGCCTCCTTCCAAGCCTCAGAAGCCGGCGTATTCCGGTTCGTTCCACAGTTCTCCTTCCCCTAGCTCCAGGGTGGGGTTAGGGCTTATAGATCCTCGCAGAATCCTCTCTCCTGGCAGGGTCTCCCCGATGGACTCTGACGCGGCCTTGGTCCCGCTGCCGGAGAGCGCTGTTGCTGTGTCTGCAGCTGCCGTAGTTTTGGCGCCGGAAGTGGAGACCGTGGATCCGCCGCAGAGGCCTAAGTCTCGGATGGCAGCACAGGTGCCACAACCTTCTCCGTCCGCAGCAGAGCTGGGAGCGAGCGCGGTGTGCTCCGAGGAGAGATCTACGGATCTGAGGCTCGTTTTGAAGGGGAAGGACCGGAGTTATTTGGTTCTGGATCTGGATTCAGATGTGTTGTGCCGCAGCAGCACATATTTTGCAGCGATGGTCTTGGAAGCTCGCCGTAAGCCAGCGGATGACTCGGGGGAATCCCCGAAGATTGTGGTCGCCGAGATTGAGCATCTGCCTGTGTTTAAGGATACCATTGAACTGATGTACGAGAAGGATGCCGTGAGGTGGCTCATGAAGGCCGGCGTTCTTCGCTCGATCGATATACTTGAGGTGAGCATCCTGGCCATTCTTATCTCATGGAACTTAAGCTTCATCCTTGAAGCATTTTATGATTACCATGAAAAACATCACAAAGCTTCTTCTGAGATTGAATCATCGCCAAGAGGAAAAACATCTCGAGGCTTCTGAGATATTCCCATTGCATTCACTTTCATCCTCGTGTTTTTCTCAATATTTTTCTGATGCATCAGTCCAAATTTTCTTAATGTCTGTCACAATCTTTAGTTGGGTCATCGACACAAACCCGACGTGACGAAAATTAAAAGAGTTTTTCTTATCCAGCCTGATGATTCAGCAGCGTGTTCCTTTTTCTTTTGAGAGAGAGGAAGGGGGGGGAGATGGATGGATGGAGGGGTCATGACGAATTAAATGGAGATTGGAGCAAAAATCTTAGGAATTCGTAATCAAATATGTGCCTTTTATCCAGGAACTCTTGGATCCTTTGAATTCTTGTAGCAGACGCAAAGTTGCAGGTCCACTCTTGCACAATGATTAGCTACGCCAACCAGTTGGTCTGGGCTAAGCCTCAGATCAGCAAATGGGATGCCCGTTCCATACAGAGATTTAGGAATGGATCCTTCAGCAGATCGTGGCGAACTCTGAGATTCGCTCTTGGGAGTTTCGATCACGAAAACTGTTCGCTGTGGATATAGATGTTATCTTTGCTTATCCTCGGGCTGTAGAAGATTCATTTTATTTATTTTTTGGTTGTTGTTGTTACCCAGTCTTCTGTAGTTCTAGATTTCACTGCTGGCATGCCCTCCATGAATTCCTTTCTTTCACTGATCCGATCTTCAGGTATCGTCCTCCATTGTGTTCCCCAGAGGCGTTGACTCGTGCTTGAGGTACCTGGAGGCTGTCCCCTGGAACGAGAGCGAGGAGGAGAAGCTGAAGGCCCTCTTTTCGAGGTGCTCCTTGGACCATCCTCTCGCCCAGGACATCCTTTCCAGACTCTACGGTCAAGTCGCCGCCGAAGGCCTGGCCCTCCGCCTTCTCCGATCCGTCTCCGGCGGCGCCAACAGGGGCTCCAAAAAGGTCCTCCAGACGCTGGTCAACGACCTCCTCTCCAAGAGCTCCGTCTACCACAAGGACCCCGCCGGCCTCACCAAAGACGGCCTTTACGAAGTCTCCCTCTCCTGCTTGGCCTCTCTGCTGCAGCTCTTCCAGGAGGCCACCGGCGGCGCCGCCGCCGAGGGGCGGAGGGGGACGATGCTGGACCGAGCTTCCTGCCTTGTCGACAGCCTCAGCTGGCTGCTGGAGCTGCTCCTGGACAGGCACCTGGCGGAGGACTTCGTGGCCCTCTGGGCCGGCCAGACGGAGCTCCAACACCTGCACGAGGCGGCGGCGCCGATGCTCCGCTTCGAGCTTAGCCGCGTCTCCGCCGCCGTGTTCGAGGCTCTCGGCAGGGGGCGGCTTCACTGCCCCGCCCCGCTCCGGTGGCGCGTCCTCCGCGCCTGGTTCGGGCCCATGCTGGTCGACTTCGGCTGGCTCGGGCGCCGGCCTCGTGGGCTCGACCTCCGGTCCATGGAGGACTCCCTGGGCCGAGCCATCCTCACCCTCCCCCTCCCCCAGCAGCAGGCCCTCCTGGTCGACTGGTTCGCCTTCTTCTCCTCCTCCGCCGCCGGCGACTGCCCCAATCTCAGCGCCGCCTTCCAGGTCTGGTGGCGCCGCTCCTTCCTCCGCCGCCCCTCCCCACACCAACAATGAAACCCTTTTTCTTTTCTTTTTCTTTTTCTTTTTAGCAAGCACTTCTGTGGAGTCATTGTACTTAATCGCAAGGACACTTAAATGCACTTATATATATCGCCAGAATATTATCCCAGATAGTAATACTCGATAGATCATAATAATATTATTTCTGCTCGTTGACCCAATTGTTGTCTTCCCCCCCCTCCCGTATAGGTCGAACAGATATGGTCAGAGGTGGGTTTTTGCGAATTCACCGTTGACTTTTGGGAGGAGGATTATATTTGTTAGGAATGTGGGCCCCACCGTTAGGACTTTTTCAACCTTAGTGACTGTCCTCTCTGGAGAGCACGTCTCCTCTGGCGTAGGACCAAAGCGGTGTTATCGTGGGCTGTTCCTTCGATGGGCCCATAAAGTGCGCTGGACAGCCCATTATCTCAGAATTTCGGCGTAATTGGGCCGGCGCGGGGCTCCTTTCGGTGACGATTTTAGACTGAAAGTGGCTATATATTACGAAATGTGCCCCTGAGAGACGGCGGGGTCCCATCGGCGGTGCGATTCGCCAGTGCGTCTCGCCCACGCGTCACACCATAGCGCCGACAAGCCGTCCCACTTGGTGATCGCTAATTAGTCCACGTCGGACAATACAGTGGCCACCTCGCTTTGCCGCGTAGGGCGGTTCTTGCGTCGGGTCACCGGGGTCCGCTTACCGATTCTCTCGCGAGGGATGTCACCACATGACGCAAAGCCCAGCTGCGAAGCGAAGAAGAGCTTTGACTTCTCTAGATAGAGAAGGCTAGAGAGAGAGAGGAACTAAAAAGGTTCGGAACGGTGTGATTCAATCCAATCCAATACCCCTTTGACGTCCGCAAGGACGGACGAGGCTCGCTCTCTCTCTTTCTCTGTCTCTCTTCTCTCTCTGGCCGAGGGGGGAAGAAGAAGCAGAAGATATAAGCCAGAAAAGCCAGAGAGAAGGGGAGGTCGGCGTCGGGGGGGGGTTGGGGAGTCTGCAGCAAGCTGGCCAGGGAAAGGGAGGCTGACGGCAGTAGCAAAGAAGAGGAGAGAGCAATGAGAGGAGATAGGGGAGAGGTGAACACCGAGTGTGAATTCTAGGGTTTCTGTTTGCTCGGGCGGAGGTGTTGGAACTACGCAAGTCGTTTGCTGCTGCGGGGTTCTAGTAATTTGCTGCTCGGGGGCCTTCCTCGTTTGTATTGTGTTATCGGTTGCCCTCGTCTGTTTCTTGTATCACGTGTTTATGGAAATCCGTTGCCGGAGCCTTGAGGAAATCGGAGAGCTCTGGCGACTGGATCGGGCTAAGGTTGTGCTTAGATTTGCTGGGAAGGGCCCTGATCGAGGGCGTCTCGTCTTGTTTTGATCTGGCGGCGTCCGGAGGGAGCTTCCCCCGGTATTCTCTCCTATAGCTGGTGGTTTTAGTTCTAGTTCAGGCTTTGCGGCTTGTGGTTGGGAAAGAGTTCATGTGCGTAAACGTCTCACTGCTTTCGACTTAAGATTATTTTGCTGGAGGTTGAGAGGAACTGGATTTTCGGCCGTCGGAGGCGATTATTGTGGTTACTTTGCGAGAGAAGACTCACTTCCCTTCCCTGTTCTCTACGACATCCTTGTTCTCTATTTTGAGCTGAAAAGTTGTAGTTTGATTAATCCATAAGTGGGAGAAAGGTGGATCCCCTGCTAACTTTGTTGGATCCAACCACCGTTGCGAGGATGTGGTCCTGAACTCACATTGTAATATTGAGGATGTTCAGAACTAGGGTCGCTGGACTGGTTTTCCTTCTCTTTTCTTTCGATCCATGCTCTCCTATGTGCTTAGGTGGGAGGATCCTTTATCTATCATGTCTTCTTTGATACTCTGAAACAGTTTCTCTCGGTGATGCCTAGATTTGCCGTCGCTCCTTAGAATTTCTCTGGTTTCCTCGTATTTCTTCTCTTGGGACAATGGTGCCTTCGGGTCCCCCGGCATCTGTAGGCGGAGCACAGTCGGTCTCTCCCACCATGCTTAGAACAAACTCTGCCATTATTGCAGGAGGGCAGGCAGTTTCTGTCCCTTCACAGTCTCCTTTCCCCTCTCTGGTCTCACCCAGGACCCAGTTCAACAATAACACCAACAATATGAGTCTCCTTGGTAACATGCCAAACGTCTCTTCCCTCCTAAACCACACCTTTGGAAATGGGGGGTCTCTCTCTGGGATGGGGCTGCCAAACGCATCGGTGAATCTCCAACAGCGTGGTAATGGAGGTGCCATGGAGTTAGTTGGTTCTGCTGAGTCTGAACCCCTTTCTTTTACTCCGACTGCACAAGCCCAAGGGCAGCACTTTCAGAACCCCTCTGCTAATCAAGGAGTGTTGGATAATTTGCAACCTCAGCAACGGACTGAAGCGATGCAAAGTTTCCAACCACCGTTCTCTCTGTCGCACAGCCAACAGCAACAACTCCGAGGAGGGTTGGGGAACATGGTAGCCGTCAAATTGGAGCCACATATGGGTACATCTGATCACAACTTACCTCCACATCAACTACAGTCGTTGCGCAATTTAGGGTCTGTTAAAGCAGAACCGCAGATGCAGTCTATAGCAAGTTTGAGTCCAGTTAAAATGGAGACTCATCAGCATTCGGACCCTGCGTTATTTTTGCAACAACAACAGCAGCAACAGCAACAGCAGCAGCAACGGCAGCAGCAGCAGCAGCAGCAGCAATTATTACATCTGCCTCGGCAGACACCTCATACAGCTGCACAGATGAATCTTCTTCAGCAGCAGCAGCAACGGATCATGCAGATAAAGCAACAACAGCAGCAACAACAAATTCTTAAATCACTCCCTCAACAGAGGTTGCAGCAACAGCAGCAGCTTCAGCAGCAGGCTCTTTCTTTGAGATCTCAAGTCAAACCATCTGCTTATGAACCAGGAACGTGTGCTCGGCGTTTGACCCATTATATGTTTTACCAGAAGCACAGGCCTTCTGTAAGTTGTTATTTTGGGCGAATAACGTCTATACTCATCCTTAGTATCCAATGTTTTGCGATTTTTCTTGTTCTTTCTCAATGATTTTTATGTGATATATGGTGCAGGATAATAACATTGAATTTTGGAGGAAATTTGTTGCTGAGTACTTTGCGCCTCATGCCAGAAAGAGATGGTGTGTCTCTTTATATGGAACTGGTCGACAGACTACTGGTGTATTCCCTCAGGTCTATTACTAACATTTGAGAAAACTTTCAGGATTCCGAGCTAGTTATTACATTCTGTTGAGGAAATCCTGTTCGTGACTTTTGCTGCATTGTAGTTGTGTTGTACAGTGATGACGTATTGTAATACGTGTTTTTTCTGTAAATATGTAGGATGTCTGGCACTGTGAAATCTGCAACTGTAAGCCAGGTCGTGGCTTTGGTATGTATAATTTTGTTTTCGATTAACTGATGGCTATTGATTTTCTTTGTGTTGGGTTCAGTTAAAAACATTTGGATCATGTTTGAATCCATGATGAAGAAAAATTTGTACTATGAGACTAATTTTGTATTTTGGCTGATATTTTCAGAGACAACAGTTGAGGTTTTGCCGAGGTTATACAAGATCAAGTATGACAGTGGTACTCAGGAGGAGCTTCTTTATGTTGACATGCCACGCGAATATCAGAATGCGTCTGGACAAATTGTCCTTGATTATGCAAAAGCTATTCAAGAAAGTGTGTTTGAGCAGTTGCGAGTAGTTCGTGATGGTCAGCTGCGAATTGTTTTCTCTTCAGATCTTAAGGTTGGTCATTATGCGTTACAGTAAACCATGTAATTTTGCAGCTTGCTATTTCTAATTTTGTTCGACTTTTTCAGATATGTTCTTGGGAGTTTTGTGCAAGGCGACATGAAGAGCTTATCCCTAGAAGATTGATAATACCTCAGGTATTCTCCTACAGCTTTTCCGAGTTGGTGTGGTATTCAGTTGTGCTTGCTGAATGTTTTCATAGACTGTCTTATGTCGTGGAAGAATGATAGCAAGTCCTTCTCTGCAGGTTAGTCAACTTGGACAGGTTGTGCAGAAATATCAGGCTGCTACTCAAAACGGAGTGTCCAGCTTGTCAGCTCAAGAGGTGCAGAATAGTTGTAATTTGTAAGTCTCCCTCATTCCTGCTGGAATGGAAACTTTCCTTCTAATTTGTTCTCAATTTGGTTTTCAGCCTAATTTTCTTCAAAGTTTCTGGTATTATTTTCTCCCCCGAATGAAGATCTCATACATGGGCTTGCCATTTATTTTGGATTGATCGCTGATTGATGTATAATTTACAAATTAATTAATCCCATACTATCCACTTTTGAAATGTGGTTGGCATATGATTAATTGAGCATATGCGTGTTCTTTGTCTGTGTGTTGCACTGTTGATTGCATAACTTTTTTTTTTCGTGTTTTAATTGTTCCTGATTATGACGATCGTTTGTATCAGCCCGTCGTATGACATTGATTTTACACGGTGTTCAGAGTCAATCTTGAGCCAATCAGTTTGACTATTTACTGACCTTTTCAGTCAACTTCTCATATTTTGCTAATTCACAAGTGTAGTATGCAAATGGGAGATATGATGAGGACTGGTTATAGATCTCTCTTAATAGTTCCCAAACCACAGGCTGCGCCAGATTGTTTGGTTCCAGCCGATTTCCTTTGCTCAAGTTCGGAAAGGATTGGCTAGGCCAGTCTTCCTTGCTAACCCAGTCTGTTGACGACGTTAGTATTTAATTTGGAAAAATAAATAAATTTAGTGGTTGTGTGAATATTTGTTTTAAAATCTGTGTACTAAAGTATAATAACAGAAAAAATATTAAATGGGAACTTTAGTTGAAAAAAATTCAAATATTTAGAAGTCATTCTACTTTTATATTTCCATTGAGGTGGGGCAAAAAGAAAAGAAATGAGAAAGAGAATGGTCTACTTGGTTTCCATCCACAATTATTTTTTTATCAGCGTGAACATCTTCCAGACTCTGTAGAGAAGTCAGATTATGTGATGCGAATGTTATCCCCTGTCCGATTAGAAACCTTCAATTTTTTTATTAATATTTTCATCGTGCGAATTGAATCATGATTATGTTATGATTTTCCTCTAGATTTGTTGCATCTACTCGTCAGTTGGCTAAAGCATTGGAGGTGCCATTGGTCAATGATTTGGGATACACAAAGAGATACGTCCGTTGCCTGCAGGTAATTAGTTTGCCAACGCTGCACTCTCTGCCTACCAAGAGAGAGAAAGCAAAGATGAAGGGCGAGAGAGAGAGAGAGAGGAACGAAATTAGAGTCTCAACATGTGTTTCGCATTTGAATGCATGGTCTCATCTGCACATCAGTGATGATATTGACTGATCACCGTTTGGGTTTTGCTGCAGATTGCAGAGGTAGTGAACTGTATGAAGGACCTAATCGATTGCAGCAGGGAAACGGGGACCGGGCCTATGGGTAATTATTTCTTCCCCTACACTGGTTATTTATTTTCCTTAGGACTCCAAAAGCATATTACTCGTCATCTTCAAACTTGCACTCGCCTCTCAAATGACCGGTGAAAGTAAGCATCAAATCGTTCCATGTTTTTTTTTACAGTTATCAGTATTATATGGTTCTAAATATTTTTGATCATGAAAATTCTCGATTTTTCTGTGAAACAATAATCTGTCAACTTCCACGTGATCTTGGTATGGAAAAGTGATCTTATGTTTGAATATTTATCTTCCTTGGGGAATCTCATAGCGTTTAGTTGTAACCTCAAAACTTGCACTCAAGTGCCCAGTGAAAGTAAGCATCAAATCGTTGCATGTGTCAAATTTTAATTTTCTATTAAATGGGTTCTAAATATTTTATGATCATGAAAATTCTCAACTTTTCAGAGAAATAAGAATAAAAATTATCTCTTGGAAGAACTTGATTACTCCATCAGGCTAACCCATTCTTGTGTGATTTTTATTTTCAGAGAGCCTGGTCAACTTCCCGAGGAGAACCTCCAGCTCCTCTGGGATAACCTCCATGCCCAACCCACAAGCTGACGAACAACAGCCGGGCCCACCAAACTCCAACCTCGACGACCAAAACCCGGCCCGGCCCGGCCAGCTCGCTTCCGGGAACAACAGCGTCGTAAGTGTAAATCACCCTCTCAATCCCTCCTCATCCTCTTCCTCCGCCACCGCCATTGCCAGCCTCCAAAACTCCATCAACGCCAGACCAGAAAACACCATGAGCAGCGTCACCAGCTCCTACCCGGCAGTCCAGATCCCCTCCGCCAGCTCCTCCAGTAATTTGCCGCCCTCCCAGCCAAACCCTCCTTCCCCCTTCCCCTCCCCGACCCCCTCTGCATCCGCCACCAATGGGCCGCCGCCGTCCCACATGAGCACCTCCTGCTTGCCCACCAGCGCCGCCACAATGCCGCAGCCGGCTGGCCCGGCCAACGACTTGGACCCGGTGGCGGGTTCCCAGAGCTCAGTGCAGCAGATCCTGCAGGAGATGATGATGTCGTCACAGCTGAGCAGTGTCGGCGCACTTGGCGGTGATATGAAGGTGCCCAATGGGATCGCTCTGGGTCTTGGAGGCATGGTTGGGAATGGCGTGGTTAACCCACCCGGAGTTGGCGGCAGTGGTGGCTCTGGGGGAGGAGGCTATGGGACCATGGGCGGCGGTGGCATCGGTGGCGGGATTGGCCCCTCAGTGGCGGCCGGAGGAATCAGAGCAGCAATGGCGAATAACTCCCTCAGCTTCAATGGGAGAGTTGGGATGAGCTCGTTGGGTCCGGACCCGGCGGCCGTGAGCCATCAGCAGCAGGAGCTGGGGAGCCGGCTGTTGAGTGGCGGGCTTGGAGCGGCAGGCAACTTTAATAATCTCCAGTTCGCTTGGAAGACCTCTCCTTGACCAGAAGAAGGAACCAGGGGAAGAGAGATTTTGGTCCCGTCTTTCTATATTTTCTTACTATCCAAGGAAAAAAAAAGAAAAAAAAAGGTGCTGCCTTGGGCGATGGGAAGCTCCCCTCCTAAGGGTTGCTTCCCCCTTCCAACTCCTCCCCAGCAATTAACGTGAGTAGTCCCCAGCTCTCAATTTATGCATACGTATAATTTATATATAAGATGTTATGTATGGATATGCATAATGGGATCGATCGGATTCGCCTTCTAATCTGCTCTCCCAGGTGGTTCTTGTATCACAGTGTGTTTCTAATTCTATAGGAGGTAAACTAGGGATGCCCATGCCCTCCGAGGCTGCACCGGAGACTGGAGCTGCAACGACCCAGGGCTGCAATCACCCCACATTTCCGAACCCCCCTCTCCATCATGGATCTGTAATACAAACCCAACGTCTGAAAGGCTCATCTCTCTCTCTCTCTCTCTCTCTCTCTCTCTCCCTCTCCACGATATAGTCAAATTTTATTGTTTATTTGACCTTGTTTATGATGTGCCCCCCCCCTCCGGAAGGGACCGAGTCAGAGCCTTGATGGCGTTGAGAATAGGGTTTCAATGAAGACGACTGCAGCCGTTAATTCAACGTGTGGCAGCCAACCCCCTTTCTCTCTCTCTCTCTCTCTTTCTGCCGTCGACTTGCTACCCTCAACCCCAATAAAAGTCGTCTTTTGGGTCATGAGACGTACATCATGCAGGGTTTTGGGTCCCACATAATTGACCGTTTATTACTCTCATTAACAACTACAAACCCAAGTGTTCGGAACGCCCCCCTCTCTCTCCATCTCTCTTCCCCGCTGGTGGTGGAACTCCCCTCTGCAGCGTTCTTCTTTGTCCCCTTTTTGGACTCGTATGAAATATCAATTAACTCGGGCATTTATGACAATCATCCGAGCTTGTGCAGGAGAGAGAGAGAGAGAGGATATTCATGCGAAAAGAGACATAACCAGGCTGGGGACCGATGGCAGCTGGGCCATGTTCGTCTGAAGGTGAAGCTTCAGAAGCATACACTAAGGACGGAGCAGAAAGCTAGAGAAATCCATAAAAATAAACCTTCATGCTTCATATGTACAGCCCTGATAAAAACTTGAGTATACGTTGGTATCCTACCATGGCTTTTGGCCCCTTCGCCTATTAATTAAGCTTTCAACGCAAAAATATCACAAATATATTACACGAACTGCAAATAACCCGGAGACATGAGGGAGAGGGATAGAGAGAGAGCTCAATCATCACTCAACTCCAGCTAAAGAGGTCCATCCAAAGCCCTGATGTTGGTCTGGCATCAAAATGAGTAGTTATTCAGATCGCTTTTGTAGTCATCGGATTCCATGTCGGCCAGGCATTCCTCAGCAGAGAGAGGGGGGAGCTTCCTGGCCTTCCTCCTCAGGTTGTGCTTGTGCCAGTCGGTCTTGAAGTGATCCCTGTACTCCCTGGCGTCCCCAAAGGCTGCATCACATGTGCCGCACCTGTTCTTCTTGGCTTGCTCTTCACCGCCTCTGCCCTCTTCAGATATGTTTTGCCTTTGCATCCGCTCGCCCAGCTGGGCCACTGAATTACTCACTGCCTTTGTCGAGAGAGAAAGAAGCTCATCAGCCTCTTCGTGCTGGTCAACGCGGGTCTCCCCCTCGGCGTGAACTGAGACAGCAAGTATTTCCACCCAGCCAGGAATGCTCCTCACGAAGCTGTCGCAGTCTCGGAAAAACCCTGGTTCTATCTCACATACCTGAGGGAGCAAAATAAACATGCCACATCAGACTATCAAAAACCCTTAAACAGGCCAACTAGATATTATCATCTGGGCACGTTCCCTATTCTTCTAAATGATTGATGCTAGAATATGGGCCCTGTGTGTGTGTGTGTGTGAGAGAGAGAGAGAGAGAGAGGGAGAGAGAGAGAGGGAGAGAGAGAGAGAGAGAGAGAGAGAGAGAGATGTGGCATGTTTTAAATGAACCTAGAAAATTTAAAACGAGCAGGTCAGGCTGAACCAAAATCGAATATCTTCATAAAGATGCTCGATTTGGGTCCATTAAGTGTCATGGGCCCAAGGGGTTAATAAATTCACTCCAGGTAAGCCCTACAAGGAAGAAATCGGTGGGTTATTGCTACTATCATTTTCTTGTTATTATTATTATTATTACTATTGGATCATTTGGTCTCTCCTATGTTCCCTTCCAAGGAGTTAGTACACAAATGGGGCCCACAGTTCAAGAGAGAATTTGGTGCTGTGATCCAATTTGGAGGAACCAGACTGCTCAACTCGAGCAAAAAGCAATTAATGGAGTGCTTCACACTAAAAGTCAACCCTTAGAAGGCTATTAAAGATTATATGGCATATGAGATATGAGACTTACAACACACAGCTGGTTCCCGGATTCGTCCTTGGAGATAACATTGGCGCCCCACGTGCTAAGCTTCTCCATGAGAGGAGAAATACTTCCCTCGGGAATGATGAGTCTCAGCCTCATTGGAGAACGCTTGATGGGGAAGTGCTTTTGAAGCTCGCGAATGAGTTCCAGGGCCTGGGAAAGAAAGCAGGTCAACGGGTAAAGTTTCCATAAGAAGGAAATCCCCCATGAAATAAAATAGAAAACAAGATAAATGCAAATTCTTGTGTCAACGGATTCATATTTGCAGTTATCATGACTGCAATATGATCACAAAGTCAGCTCTGAAATCCCAGAAGGAGAGGAATAGATTTATTTAGGCCAAGTGTTCTTGACCAGGTTGCAGTATGGTAACGGGGCACCGGCAATAAATGCGGCCAGGGAGACCCACAAGTTTCCAGTAGGGACGTTCATCTACGAAATATTTGCAATAAATGTAGCAGCTTGATGAGGAAGGCATAGTAGAAAATAATCTTGGGCTCCTGTTAGTTTTTCTAAACCGGCAAGCTGTGTTACAGTAGGAATCTAGAACAAGAACTCTATAAATGATTAAGTCAGATAACAAAGGAAATAATCATCCCTAGCAGAGGCAAGATGCGCAGATAGCCAGGAAATATGATTCATGCAAAATGTCATTCTTCCCATCTTTCTTTATATGCCCATAGAAAGGCCATGATACTTGTTTCATGTTAATTAGGAATGAGAAAAATTAGAGAAAGGAAGTACTACACGAACCTAATTGTCTCTAATAAACAGAAAAGTTAATAATACACTGTATTCAATCCATGATGAACCACCGAGAATCAAAAACCTTGAGGCTTAAGGATAGCAAACTTTAGTTCTTTGACAAGAACAAACTTCAACAACGTAAAACAAGTACACTAAAATTTATGAAGGAAACTTAGGACAGATATAGCCATTGATCCAATAAAAAAACAGGCAAAATGTGAACTACTTCAAGCTATAAATGTAAAGACGAAAAGAGTCTACCTGTTTCTTTGAGTTCTGATGAGGATCCACTGCGAAATGGATTTCATGCATAAGCCGCTCAATCATACTTATAGGGTAAGGCCGTTGAGTTTGTGGATTTATAGTTTTCTCCATAACAATTGTTGCTATGTCACGAAATTGGTTAGATAATTGAGAATCCCTTTCCTTTCCAGCCACTTGAAGCTCCCCTTTCTCCATAATCTGTTTCATGACTGTCGATTAGTGGATTCGAAATTCCCCAAAAAGCGCTAGGTATCACCATATACAACCAACAATCAATTATTATCTTTTACTTCTTTATTTGGAAGACGGTGATGAGAACTACTGTAATTAATTCCTCGGCAATCTTGAAAAAGAAACAAGACAAACTTGCTGCATTCAAGACTTTGTAAAAGGCTAAAAAGGAGAAACTCAAGTGGTACATGCAACTAGTCAATATTTCTACGATATTTTCAATGTTCCCGACATCAAGCGGATTTGGAGCAAAGCAAAGCAGCAATGTAGGATATAAAAAGCGTAAGGAAACTTACTAGTCACCAATCACACCATGAAATAACTTCATTTCAGTTGACACAATAGAAACATAAAAGAAACCAGTAAGAGTGGCTGATTGGTCCATTTTCTTAGATGGAGGTGAAAAGATTGGTCTTTAAATAAGAGGAAAAAAAACCAGTGGAGTCGTACTGAAAAAATCGGAGACAAAAATACATGTAAAAGATGATTCTCTCGTGAATCGAGATCCTCAGAGTTCTCGACACAGGTCCATTGATCCTTAGTGTGATACTGTTGTTCTGGAGATGGACCAAAAAAGCACGATTCAAGTACTACTACTAAATAACTGGATATTGGAGACGCAGAGAAATTCGCCCAAGAAACACAGTCACATACGATGTTTTTGCCTTTAGATCTGCCTCTTTTGGGAAAGGACAGGGGATGTGTCTCTTGGGCAACTTCCAACATAATAGCAATGGTAAATTATACATAAGAAACATCTAATCTCTTTAGGGACTTTTTCTCCTTGCTGTCTGCTTCATTAATTTTATCTCTTGCCCTACTTTTCGTGCAAATCGACATTAAAAAAAATGTAGAAATATTTTATCGACAAAAAGGTAGGTGTCATCTCACACAGTCACAAAAAATGTATTGAACATATTCAATCAGAATTCTCAAATATTGTTAATAATGCTCTGAACATAGATGTACATGGATATTAAAAAAAATCTGAATTTTACACTTTTTTTACATTCTGTACGAGGGTTTTTTCTTCTTTTGACCCTTGAACTGTTGAATTTGTGTACGCTCTGTGACTAAATGACTATGTGATGCACCATAAGGCACAAAGAATTTCACAACGTTACAAGTTAGAAAGCGGGTAATTTTTTTTATTTTAATTCATACCAGATCTCTCCGACTTGATGACGTTCGCATAGAGCCCTATCATTTGATCTTAACACACCAAATGTCCCCACGAATAACTTAATGAGGTCAGATGACGAAGGAAGCTACACAATGATTTTACCAAATAGATAAAAAAAATCGTATACACATTATATTTAAAGCACGGGTTTCAATTCTTTCGGATTATTATGAAATCCTATAAAGCCGAGTAAGCACAGAAGGATAGAATGAAGTGCGCTTCGCCAATGCTTGATTCCAATCATTATTCATGGTCCACCACAAGCAAATTTCTCCAATCTCTTTTAAAGGAGATGAAAATTGAAATCCATCGTCAACAAGCAATACCCAAACATCTCCACTATTAAATAAAAAAAAAAGTAGCGAATAGGTGTGCACAAACTAGCTAAGAATTTTTTTTTATCATAAATCCCCAAAGACCCCATGCCTATACAAATCAAATGGAAATATCGAGAACAGACCTCGAGGCAAATCTTCGCTTGGTCGTCGGTGCCGAACGCCGCGTTCAGGTCCTTGGATTTGGCAAGGACCCCCTTGGAAACATTGGAATAGACTGTCTGCGATTGCAGTACCTCGTCCAAGTCCTTCTCCACCCCTGAGCGCCATGACAGGACCTTGTTCTTGTAGCAGGCAATCTCGAAGCGGAGGCCGTGCTTCTTCAGCCTCACAACGGCCACGTTCGTCAGCCTCTTCTGTCCTATCGGCTGCACCAGCGACCGAGACATCTTCCACCGCTTCCGCCGCCGCTCTCCTCCAGCTCGCTGCCGCCGCCGCTCTTTATGGACGCTCTCCACCACCTCCTGTAGCGGGGCTACAGTGACGCCCAAAAACCCGTATGGCCCAAGGAACCGGGAACCATCGCCAACGGAATTGGAATCCGAAATCAAAATCGTACCGTGAAATTTGGATTCTACGTTGGACAACTATTGTGGACGTTGGACTGCTTAACGGGCTGGCCCATAAAAGCCCAAACAACAACGTCGCATTCCAGATGGCAGATTCCGATAAATTATGGGCCCAGCCCGGCTCAATTAAGTACGAGGTTTGAGTTGGTCTAGTTACATTTCCAGGCCTGGCTTGGAACTTGGGTCAGATGTTAGACTCGTCTGCCCCATTACATTACAGGCCCAACCACGTTCTTGGATGAGTCTCAAATCAAGTGCTCTCAAGGCTTATGAGTAAAAGTATCTTGATTGCTGTCATGTTTTCTTTCAATTTTCAGTACCTTCCTACACATGCCTCTCTCTCTCTCTCTCTCTCTCTCTCTCTCTCTCTCTCTCTCATGTGTGTGTGTCTATGAACAATGAATGGATTAATTACTAATATATGTGAATATAATTAATAGATTAATTACTAAGTTGGGAGTTTTAAATCGAATTTGATGTTATTGAGATATTGCTCATATCTCAGTTTGGTTTGATGGCGTGAATTATTAAAAAGATGTATTGGGATGTGCACCTACCCAATAAGTACATGATCAAGGAGGCACAACCATTTTCTCTTTCTATTTTGTTTGCAGGGTATTTTTGTAAACTCATGAGTTGAGAGAAGATATAAAACTAATTTGAATTATTAAGTAGTTACAGTTTTGAATATAATTTAGCAATCATTAATCATATTTTTTACATTGAATATCTCAACCAATTTTCCACATGTTACTACAAGGTTTCAAATTCAAATTTCACTCATGTTTTAATTTTGCTAATTTGGTCATCACTCTTTTCACTTATGTAAAACTTATTTCCTAAGTTTGAATCTGAATGTCTACCATTGTGTATCTTTGATATTTCAAATATTTTTTGCATTGATGTTCTTTTTTTCACATTGCTCAAGTGACTTTGACTTTTAAATTATACATAAAACTTCATCACACGTGTTGACACTTGTTACATTGTACTTATATAAATATTATACTAAATTACTTCATACAAAAGAGTACCTCAAGGGTGTGACTAATTGAGTTCATTGTTAGCCATAGAATTACGTAATGTATCATCAATGTGTAAGATAAAAATGTTTGTCAATTAAACTTATCTCATGATAAAAAAACAATCATGATGTATATTATGATTCAACTCATTCAAGAATACTTAATAAATAATTTTTTCATTGTATGTGTCAAAACACACTGCATGTGTCAACCTTTGAGGGCATCCAAATATCTATATAGAAGAAGTGACAAATCTCTATAGATATGGTTTGACTCTATTTTCATTATCTTGGAGGACTCAGTGGTTGAGATACTTTCAAACATCTTGTTGAAAAAAATGAGATGTCTTATGAAACCCTAATCTACCCACACATATCATGCAAGATGAGACCCTGTTATAGATCCTTGTACGTGTTGCCAAGAGAAAAAGATATATGATTCTCTCATATTCCATGTAAAATATATTGTCAATCGTCAAAGGAAGTCAAATGAGACATAGGAACTTCATTCTTCAAACAAAGGAACACTTGAAGGGAGAGGAAGGCAAGAACAATGAAAAAATATGAAGACCCTCTAGAGAGATCACACTTAGAGCTATAATATTATGTCAAGAGACATACAACCTCCAATCTTCACACCTCAACCTCTTTCCCTCTTTTCAATACAAGAAGAAATAGGAGCAAACATGAATGGAATAGAAGAGGACAAAAACCCTAACTTGATTCAAGAGCTTAAGGGTTACATGGGGTTGGTACTTATACCAACTTATTAGTGAGAGATAGAGGGAGAATCAGTCCAAGTTGAATTGGACCAGATTAGTTTACGCTAATAATATGAAAGAAAATAAATTTAGATGAAGTGGACAATATCAAAGAAAACACAACAGAAAAGTTAGGAAAATGAAGCTCATTTCTAACACTTATTTCACTTTGCAAGTCTATATCACCTACTACATTTTTAAGCTCTCAAACAACCTACTATAACATAGACTCCATGAGTCTATCATTTCTTATTATATTTAAAGGATCACTAGCACCTTGATAGCCTAGACTTCATGACTTTATCTATCCACTAGATTTATGACTCCAGTCAACCTATCCACCACATGAAAGGTACTCTAAAAGTCTATTCACAGTTTCATTCTAGCATTAGAACAATTAGTAGGAAATATTCAGCTTGAGTACTACCTCTTGTAGAATGAAGGAATTTTATGTGGTAGAAGGTGAACATGGAAAAACTCTTCAATGATTTGAGTAGGAAGGGATCTTTAGAGGTTGCATAAGTTTGTTGGTGTAAACTGCAACAAGTCTTCAAGATACACAAAGTAGTTTGCTTGGAGACACTTGTAAGAGGATGGATGGATCTTGAGGCATTCTTTTTTATTTTAGATGTTATGTTCAGATTTTTTATCTTGATGTCTAGTGAGAGCTCTCTTTTTATTCTCACCTTATCAATCCGAATGGTTGGCTCAATGGTTAGTTGGGTAGATGTTATTGAGTCACACACATGTCAAGAATCACACAATGAATGTCCATAAACATTGTAAAATTTATAACCATCTGGATACTTTAAATTTTGATGCATAATTTGTTACATTAGCTTCTTTGAGTAAATTTTTCAATGCTGGAAACCTTTCAACTAATCTGTCAACTAAAAATAATTTTAAAAAGCTGTGTTAGAAATTTAGACAACTTTCCCCTTGGGTGAAATTCAGAATTAAATAAATCTTGTAAAAATCATAGTAAATATAATTCTTTGAATTTCAATGATCTATTTATTGTATTATGTTTGTCTTTTAATTACCTTTTCAATGGCCACAAATTTATGTGTATACTCCATTTTCAATGTGAAAATTATTTCATTGAGCTTCTTTGAATAGTAATTATGATTACGTCTTTTAGTGAATTTCACTTGATTTAAATGTAATAATTCACACATATCATAAAATTATCATATATTTAATTAATCTGTCATCATCAAAATATCTAAAGCCCTTCAACATCAAAAATCAATCTTTCAGCTTATATAAATTTATGATTTATCTTTGTCTATTATTATTGCAAGCAAGATAATGTAACCTCTTCAATATCAAAAGAGATTTTTCCAGACATTAGTGTTACTAAATATTCTTAAAAGGAGAGAAGTAAAGAGGATCTACAACTTATCTTCACTTCAAATTTAACTTTTAATCTCAATAGATACTAGTGATTTGATTGAAATTATTTTTATGCTATGTGAGATTAAAACCCTATATCATCTTAAGCTCATCTACTTTCTATTTCATAAATAACTTTTTCATCAAAGATATAGACATAAAATGACTCTTTATGTTTTTTCTATGCCTACAAGTCACTACTCATCTAAGACATGATATAAAATAATATCAACAAGATACAATCGAATGGTATTAATTGTTCTCAACTCCATATCTTCTCAATCATCATATGTCATCATTATAATTTTTTCTACATAATGTCTTAGTCAAACCTTGTTGAACCAACAAATCCTTTACTCCACTCTTTGGATGTTTCATCAAATTTACATATGTCAATTTTTGAAGAACAACTTGCCATTTTTATGTCACTTTTAGCCTCACTTTGATACCACTTTTTTGTTAGATCATAATAAAACAAGAACAAGAGGTAGATAATTAAAATTGAAGATGTAAGGAGAATAAAAATTAAAGAACTCAAAACTTATGTCGACACATTTACACAAACAAAAAAATGTAGGAAACTAATTCACCTCCCCCCCTCTGAGTACTTTACTTAGCCACATTGGACCCAATGAGATCATTTGGATAGGAAAAACTACTTTGATTGGTCTCAACAAGTTAGTTTACTTCTAAGGAAAGAGGCTAACTTATCACTTGGTTAAACCTAGTTTCAAGGCTGAGTACTTAGAATTTGATATGTGGGATCAAAATTACTCATAAATCATGATATGATTGTGGACTACTATGGTTCTTGAGATCTAGAGAATGTTCTTATATATATCTACAATTAGATATCTCTAGAAGAAATTACATAAATGATATTCATGAGCAAGGGATGCCACACAAATCTATGAATTGAAATTAAAGATGATGACCTTGAGGTTAGGAGGGAAGTTTGGAACAAAGTATACATGATGTCAGAACACTATGACATGAGTTTGAGCAATATAAAGTTTTTGATATAAGGGATCATATTAATGCTGCCTTTTATAGAGAAAAAATAAGAGGGGATAAGATTGACATGTACCTCATAGACTTGAATTCTAAGTATGAACCAGTTAGAATTCAAATTCTTGAGATAGATAAATTATCCCCTTGAATGAGATAATTTCTTTGATTAGATGCTCGACTAGTTGACACTTGTAATTAACCTTGATTGAGATATCCAACAATTTGATGTCAAAAATATTTTCCTCTATGGAGAGTTTAAAGAAAAATTCTACATGGAAGTGCCACTGGCTTATGAGAAAGTGTGGGGGTTGACGTGGTGTATATGTTGAAAAAGGCTCTCTATGAACTAAAACAATATCCATGGGCTTGGTTTTGTAAATTTATGATAGTTATGATTGGAATGAGATACAAGTAAATTCAAGGTTATCAAACACTCTCTTTCATGGGGAGTTACATCACTTATAGGAATTGAAGTGTCACACTCCAAGAATCATATTTTTATTTTTCAAAAAATATTTATTTTTGATTTGTTGTAATAAATTATAAAATAATATGTAAACTGGCTATATCTCCTATCGATGTGAACTTGAAACTTCGTGCAACTGAGGAAGATGTTTTGATTAATAAGG